GGGCGACGTGGCGGCCGCGTTTTTGCAGGGTAGAATCTGTGAAGAGGAACTATACTGCATCCCAACCCCTGATCTTTGCAAAGAGATGAACATCCCTCCAGAGTCCATCACTCGACTCCGGAAATCATGTTATGGCCTAGTTCAGGCTCCCTATGAGTGGTACGAGACCGTGAAGACCCACTTTCACGAGTTGGGATACAGACAGTGTTTCTCAGATCCTTGCTGCTGGGTGCTCAAACAAGAAGGTGAAGTCCGCTCCATCATTTCCGGCCACGTGGATGACTTTGTCTTCATTGGAAACCCCCAAGACGAATACTGGCAGAGAGCAAAAAAGAGCATCCAAGATGCGTTTAGGTGGGGGGAGTTCGGAGAAGACAAATTCACCCAGTGCGGCGTTCAAATCAGTAGACAACCTGATGGAGGGTACACTCTCAACCAGGAAAGATACATGAGTCATTCCCTTCCGGTTCCCCTCAACAGTGAACGTAGGAAACAACGAAAGGAACCAGCCACTGAAAAAGAAAAGAGTGCTATGAGGGGAGTGCTTGGAGCCATGTCTTGGCATTGCAGTCAAGTTGGGTTTAGGTATGCGGCCTATGTTTCCCTCCTTTTGAGCCAAGTTCCTCAAGCCACGGTTGAGACCATTTTGGAAACGAACACTTTGTTGCACAAGATGAAAGACGCTTCTAAGGAACCCATGAGGATTTTCCCCATTCCTTTGAATGAGATAGGTATGTATGCCTGGTCGGACGCCTCCAACCAGAACAGACCTTCTGGACACTCTACCAAAGGGATCTTCATAGGAGCGGCTCACCGGAATTTGAGTAAAGGTACCCTGGAGAAAATTTCCCCCATGTTTTGGAATTCCTCGAAGATTGACAGGGTTTGCAGAGCACCTGGCGCTAGTGAAGCGCATGCTGCTATGGATGCGGAAGACGCTCTTTGGTTGATCCGGTATCAATGGGGAGAAATTTGTGGAGAGGTCCCCGAACCCCGAAATCCGGACCGTCTTGCTGCGAAAACCCCCGGAACTTTGATCACTGACAGTCGCAGTGTGTATGACAAGCTCCAACGACCTTACATCTCTCCGACTGGACAATCGAAGAAAATCGACATCGAGCTTGTTGCGTTGAAAAACTGCCAGAATGAAACCAATCTGGAAATAAGATGGGTGAACAGCGAAGCCATGCTGTCCAACAGCTTGACAAAAAAGAATGAAGATGAACAAATGAATAGGTTCATAGCTTGTAGGCAGTCTTGGCGCATAGTTGAAGACGCTGAAATGTTCAGCGGAAAGAAACTCAAAAAGGCAGGCAGAGACTTGCTGGATTTGAAAGACGCGGGAACCAAGCCCTGACTGTTACTCTTTTCTTTTGGCCTTGCTGTTGCTCCCGTTTTTGGTTGTTGCTGGTTTTTGAAGTGCGTGCAAAAGGCACAGGCGACCGGGCGGACCGGGGCCCATGCACTTTCCAGCATGGCTGTGGTACATCAATTTAATATGTGCATCCACAGCTATCTAGGCCCTTAGTCCCTTAGATGTTTCTGACCTCCTCTCGATCCGTGGTGCTTCACCGTCTTGAGAAAAGGGAGGCAGTACTTGCGGGACGAGTTGGTTCCTACAGCATGGTCATGGCTTCTAAATCATTAAGTAAGGATATTGAAAGAAACCATCCATTTTGGCACTACTGGACGAAGAAGGTCCAACCATCCCTCCCACCGCAGGCCGCGCCAAGAAGCGGGAGGCTCAGGCTTGGCGAGAAGAGGTGATTCCCACCCGCTGCTGGCGGTCGTTGTGGTGGTGGCGTTGGCGTACACCGCCCTCGTCCAATGGGGTTGGTGGTGTGTTTGCCTCAGCAGGTTTTTTGGGGGCAAGATGGTTTCTTGAAGAGACATGTGAAGACCAAGATGATTGAGAGATTTTCAGACGGTGGTTCGTCGTGATTCAACCACCTCCCAACTATGCGAGTGCTTTAGGGAGTAGCAGCCCCAAGGTCTTGGGGGGACAATCCCATAGGGGCATGTATGTACTGTAACAGATTGACTGTCATGCCTCGGAGATGACCTGCCGCAAGTTTCTGAAACGACAAGTCAAGTGATCCACTGGGTTGGCGGTCAAAGTCTCATAGATGGAAGTAGTCTAATAGATCGATATACACTCCGAACGGAGTCCATCATGCTTATGTGGATGGCATGGCTCCGAGTTCGGATGACAGTTTTCCGGTCATACCAAACAGGATCAAACAGGTTGTTTTCCACTTCCATGATCATTCCAGGGACTGTAGTTTCAAGGTTTCAATCTACAAGTTGTGGATGCACACCATTGGTCTATTGGAGATCCCTGAGCCAGACATGCCCGCCCTTTTTTTGAGCAGCTTCACCAATCCGCTGATATTGTGTGTTACTTTGAGATGCCAGACTTCCATGACGATGGAATAGGTGTGAATCTCAATCATTGAAAAGGGGGACCTGAAAGTTTGCATCCACAGTCTACAGTCATTCACGAGGCAATTCGGGGCACTGTCGCCTCAATGCATTTGGAAGGTCCTTCTTTCGCAGCCGCTTCAACACAAAGCATTTGTTTCATACGCTCAGCAAAGCACCAGAGGCCATGTGGTTCTTTCTTCTCATCCTGAAAACTGCGGAGAATACATCATCAGCACTTTGTCACACAAACCCCGAGCAGAGAACACACGTCGAGATAGCTTCCCTTCGGTGGCAATGAAGGAGCTGTAAGACTAGAGTGACTAGACTCCCACTACACAACCACAAGGGGCTTTTGCCAGTCAGAATGAAGATAGGAGATGAAAGAAGACTACCTTGCGCATGAGATGCATTCTTTGACAAGCATACCTTGCAAAAAGCCTTGATCCCACCAGCCTGCCCAAGCCATGCGCAGCGCCACGAGTCGTTGGTGGCGAGGCAGCATGCTCGAGCTCACAGCTGGGATACAGCCAATTGGTGTTCACAGATTTGTTGAGGCTGTTGGATGTTCCAGGCAGGGAATCCTGTAGAGGGTTAACATATACTATTATAAACTGTATAAATATACATATTTGTTATGTATAATATATATATATAGTAGCTGCTGCTCAGGAGAGAGAGAGAGAGAGAGACGGCTCGGGGAGCAACAATATATCCAGCCATATATTTCGCACTAAACAGGGAGCGGTTCGGGCTATAGGGAGTTCCCCAACCCCTTGCTATATCCAAAGATCGTTCCAACGGGGTGTTCCATCCTACTGCCTTCCGGTTAACCTTGCCAGCCCCAACATCCCTTGTCAGGGTAATTTCTTGATCGCAGAGTCTCCCTTGAATGCTTCACTTGTGATTGTTGAACATGGGATCCAGTTCTGTGGTTGAAAGGCTGGAAAGCCCAGTTTGTTTGTGTAGAATGTCGCGTTTTGAGTCTTGAGGGATGATCAAGGTAGCTTTGTCCGGCAAGTGGCGGAACATGATCCAAATGTGTTTGAGGAGTCAGGTGAGCGCAAACAAGAACCTCCACAGCCGGAGACGTAATGTTTTTCCACGTTCGACAGGTTCCTTGTGTGCTTTGCAGCACCAGCTCAGGCGAGAGCTACTGTAGAGCATTAGTTGCATGGAGTTGGGATGAATCGGGCCATCCTAGAAAAGACCTATAGAAAGACTGCTGACTCCGCACAGTTGAATAGTTGATATCCATAGCAAGGCCATATAAATTCCTTAGCATTTAATCGTTAGCAAATAATAGCCTTTGCGATTTGTTGACAGGATGTCATGTTCATTGTTCTAAACGCATGCATGCTTGGTTGAATTCATTGCCGCAGTTTGCAGAAATGACTCAGGCGTAATCATGTATGCCAAATCCAGCATTGAAAGTCCTATATAGTTGTCACTGTGTTTGCAGCTTGATGGTGCAAACAGTATGTAGATGTACAGCATACACACACAAACACACTCTGACATTGGTATTCAGTTACACTCAGTTCCCACGTTGGGAAGGAAGGTGAGGGAACGGAAAGGTGCATGAGTCCGCAAAAACCGTATTGTTGAACAAAGTTTCGACAGGTGTGCGGTGGCGAGCCTCTGTACAATTCAGCTGCGTGAGAAAGTGGGAAGGTTTGTGGGAAGTATCATGAACCACCATGGAAACAAAAAAGGAGATTGGACAGCTTGTGCAAAAGTTGTGGCAGGTACACACCAAAGCGTCCTTTGGTGCTTCCCCTGTCACATCTCAGCTTCGTTGGGCCAGGTTGGATGTGACAGGCCTGGCCCCCCTGCCTCGTTAAGTGGTTGCAGTGAAAGACAGTGGTATGGAACCCTTTGGTACAGGGGGTGACACACACACACATGCGCGCGCACACACACCCACCTTTGAGCCTTCTTGCTACAGTTTTACCTCTTTGCTACACACCTCCTCCCATCCCATGGACACGTTGAAAGAAGCTCAAGACATCTGGGCTGAGAGTTTGCTCTCAGACAATGAGTTTTGCGACGCGGTCGCAGTGCTGCGGGAGGGTCATCGGGTACCCTTTCTCCGGCCGCTGCTGGCCAATCTGTCGCTGCCGCTCCGCAAGGCATTGTGGTCCGGCCTCATGGAAACATGGTTTTGGGATGTTTGGTCCTAAGTCTTAGGATCTTACAATATTTTGATATTTTTGCAATATCACATGTTATAATTATATATATACATAATAATATTGTGATATATTGTGGCTTTTGGTTGTTGTTACTATGATGATAGGGGGCTGGAAATACACTACAGCCAGGCACTCTTTCTTGCTTCTTTTGCCTGTCATTTATGAGGTACGGGGACTTTCAAGAAGCGCACACACGAGAGATTGCTTTGGACACCACACTCGAAGCCTTCAAGGTCATGATGCGGGCGGCCTGCCATTTGGAGCCCAAGCTAACGCCTGAGAGTGCGCTGCACACTCTCAAAGCTGCCAAGTTGTACCTCATTCCTCAACTGGAAGCCCCACTACTTAGATACTTTACAAGATGGTGCTCTAATTCTGCAGGCAATGACTGCTGCCAAGAAATTGTCCTACAGCTTGGAGCCAGAAGTACTACGCAAGTATTGGAGCAGGATCTTGCTTGACAGCACAAGGATTCTGGAGTTGCCGGCATTTATTCACATGCACGGCGACATTGTCGCTCAATTAATCAAACTCGATGAGTTCGAAGCGAATGAAGACCGACTGTGGGAACGCTTGGTGGAATGGTCCCGGAAAGCTGTGCGCGATGCAGAGATACTTGGGCCGTTTGCCGATGCCACCGGCGAGACAGTGAAGCGTAGCAAGTCTGAGGATGATAGCAGTGGCTTAGGCGCTCATGAGCTTGCGCAGCAAGAAGCGATTCTGAGCGCAATGTCGAAGGACATTCGCTTCGGGGCAATGAACAAAGAGTTCTTCTTTCATAAGGCTAGAGCATTTTTGAGTCGTGAAAAGAGCGATGAAATCATGGAGTATTTCTTGTTGGGCAACAAACCTGAGCAGCTTCAAGTCGCCAAACGAGCTGGTCTTGTGCCCAAGCACAACTTGACAGTCGAAACCATTCATGAGATAACCTGCGCGACTGATGATCCCACAAGTCCTAGGGAAAATAGTCAATTGGCAGCGTTGGCAAGAGGCGACACTGGGCTTTGGTGTCCTACCTGGTCAGCTGTCAGACAGCTGGATGTGCTGGATGTCCTCATGGGCCGGGAAGTATGCATTGGAGAAATTGTTCTCACGTGGGAGGAAAGTCGAGCCATTCCGCGCTTGATAATACTTGAGACTTACGCAGACGGGAAGTGGCATTCGATGGATTGCGAAATCAGCGTATCATCAGATAATGGCTGTAGGACAACCACACATACGCCTGCTGTGCTGTCTCTTGCGACTTGCATGAAGTTTCGTTTAATATTCCTCCCCTGCAGAGTGGAAGTTGCAAGTGTGAGACAGATTGCCGTAGCCTGGAATCAAGTTAGTAACATATCTTTTAAATTGCCATGTGTTTTTGGCTTGATGTTATTTGTTGGATGTTTCTTGGGATGTAGTTAGTTTCAATTTTGTAGTGTTCCCAAGCCTGAGGTTCTGTGCAAGCAGACCATTCAGCAATGTGCAAACCAAGTGGCGGAGAATATGCTCAGAGCTGATTTGTCGCAGTCCTTAGAGCAAGATGTGTAGACCATAAACGTTGTGCCATTTTGTGAAGTGTGGTTCTGTATACTGTCCACGGAAAAGTCGTGTGAGCGAGCTGCACAACATCGGAGAGTTTACTTGCCGGGACCCGTGATGACTGCATTCCTACCCATCAATCCACTTTGAGCTCACAGAATGGTTCGCCACGCCTGTAGTCCAGCTTGTTGTTAAGGGCTGCAGTGGGCAGATGACCTAGTTTTTCAATTTGACCTTTTTATTTGGTCTTCAGTCCGTATGCCTTTTCATTTGAACGAGTTATAGAATACTTGTGCTGCGTGTTCTAGAAAATGCTCATGCGCATCCTATGGAATGTTGCCAATCGTGGGGAGCTAGATTGCTGTGGTGCTACGCATGAGTTGGGAAATGTTGGGAAGCAAAATGGAGAAGGACAGCCTCAGCAGCACCCACTGAAGTCCCAGCTACTGACTGACCAACTTAAAAGAAGTGGCCAGCCAAAGTTGTTTTATGACCGTTCGTTCGTCGATGACTTCGATGACTTCGTCGAAATACTGCCGTCAGGTGGGCCTTTTGCGATGTCACCCGAGGCGGAGTCAAACATGAGACATTTACAGTGGCTTCCGAGTGGTTGGCACAATCCGCAAAAGGTGGTTTATATCGAGCCCCATCTAAAATCTAAAATTACTGAAGGGGTTTGTGCAATTTGAGCATCTACTCCGAAACCACTGTAGACATTGATGATGTAGAGGACTGCATCCGGCTGATCCAAACTTGGTCTTTGCAGTTGTTGTGGGTTGGCCGTGGAGTTTCTTTCAAGCGACAAAGAATTTGAAGAATCAACCCACATGAAATACTCGCAATGTAATCCCCTTTTCGATAAGATATCGCCACTTCTGGGAATGCCCTGAGTGCCTCGTTTTGACCTGGTTGATACTGAGTGCCTCGTTTGCACGGAGCATCTAGTTCCACTGGCTGCCTTTCCAACAGGCTATCCTGCTGCGTCTCGAAGGCCCCTTGTGCCGAGGTGCCTTTTGGTCTTTGTTTTGCTGATGAATTGGATGCATGTCAAGGAAGGATGCTGAGGTTGCTTAGACAAAATGAACTATTTCCTTCTAGGCGCTCGTCACTGCATGCCTCAATGTGTGAGTGCGTCCAGGCTTTTTGTGAGATCCTTAGCAGACGCGACGCCTGGAGCAGGAGGCACTTTGGGGAGATGCCTGCAGCGGAGACGATTGCAGCACGGAGAACTGCACCTGCTTGCAACGTTCAGCAAACAAAATTGCAAGATATGAGGGGTGAATCACGACACCTTTACTCGGTGTAAGTACTTGCTTATCCTAGCTTGCATAGTCAGGTTTGTTTGCATGAAGGATGGACATGAATGAACTATATTATATCAGGTTGCTTCTTCAAGAACTTGGCAAGTGGCACATAGGAGCTCACAGCGAGCTTTCTGATCGGAACACTGCTTTCGTTGTTTGGGCACCAATGTTTGGTGCGCCTCCTTTGAGGAGTGACCGCGTGACCGGTGCCATGACTGCGTGTGTTTGCGTGGAAGGAGATTCGATCGCCGAGCTTCAAGACCACATGAACACGACAGGACACTCGGAACATCGGAATCCAGAGCAAATGGCTCGGACCACGGAGCCATTGGGAGTCCCATACAAAGACGCATTGAAAGCAGACAAACTGGGCAGAGAAGTTCCTTGTTGTCTGAGAGAGTCTATAAGCTAGCTCCAATTATTATCTCGTGTTTTTTGATCACCTGTTTTTGTTTAATCCTCAGTTGAGGTGCGTATCTCTTAATTACTGACTTGGTGACAACCACCGAGTGATACAAGGATACTGCATATATGATCAGAGCAACAAGAGCACTGCTCTTTTGATGGACAGTGCCCTACTGCTCTACATGAACTATGCTTATACATGTGTACCGAAAGACGAGCGTTCTCACACTCCGCGCCGCGTTCTGATGGACTCCATCGCTCTCCAAGACGAAGAAGCCGTCGAGGAGGCGAAGGCCGAGACCAGTGCCGGTCATACAGTGGGACATTTGAGACATGCACTGTGGACATTGAACTGGGGAATGCAATGTTGGTTCATGTGAAAAATTGAGGTTTGATGGTCTACGGCACTTTAGATCTACTCTAACAACCCTGGTATGACAAGGTGCCAGCCCTTTGCTTGGTGTTCGACATCTATGATATGTTACATTACATGTTTAGCCTGAGAGACGGACAATCATCAAACTGCAACGGGCCGCCCTGTTGTTCTGGTAGTGCTGAAAGCACCGACACCCAGTCAAGATCAGTCAAGTGTATATATTGATTATAATAGCCATTGTCCAAATAGATCTGATACTATTCAACTATCAATTTGGCACAAGCTACTGCCGACTCCTCATCCTGATTTTGAAACAGGTCCGCCAGAAACCAGTCAACACTGGCTTGCAACTCCCCAGGAATCACCCGGACACTCCCAGGCGGATTTCCTAGCGGTGGCCGAAGGGGAAGTGGAACATGCTGATGTCATGGCAGCGTTTCTGCAATGGGATCAGAACGGCGCCTTGGACTGAAATATTCAGTGGCCGTTGATGGATGGATAAGAGAACGGCTATGAACTCAAGTTGTCATATAGATAAGTGAGCCATGCCATAAACCCACTTGCTTGTAATGAGCAAGGGTCTTGTCATAAGAGCTCGGGGCGTAAGGAAAGCACTGCACTGCGCAAGGTTGCGTAAGCTTTTTGTGCCGCGTAAGCTTTTTTGTACCTGCTGGTTTGCATTTGATGTGAGAACAGATTTTGTTGAGGAGGTCTGCTGTGTTTACTAGAAACAGGAACCTCACAAAGATCGAGGAGAGTCACGGCACGTTCCGCGTAAGGCGCGCGTAAGCTCCGCGTAGGCAGCGCGTAAGTCTCATGCGCGTCAGTGAGTAGTAGCCCACATGGTTCAAAGCCTTTTGCCAACACTGGCCCGAAAACAAACACTCTTGGACTCTTGGCGGTGTCCATGAGGCTTGGTGGTGCACTGTTGTGTGATGTCGCTGCGCCATGCGGTTTTGCGCGGCCTTGGTGAAAACGCGCTTGCTTGAGCCCGTGCCACTGCGGGAAGGATCGCATGCTTCTGCAAGTAGTAACTCTTGAAGCCCTATCATTGTACAAAGCACGTTGCGTAAGCATGTTCCCAGCAGATTCGCAAAAAGTCTGCGAAGTCTGGCTGCGTAAGGGTGGCGTAAGCACCCACTTCCCCGCACATGCCGCGTAAGAAAACCTGTGGAGCGCGTAAGAAAAACCTATGTGTTGCGTAAGCACCCTCTTACGACATAGGAATCTATCAAGGTTTCCAGCACAGCTCAAGTGCATTTTGAGATGGGTTTGTTTTTGTTTTGAGGTGCCTCAAACGGATTCGTTTTGTAGCAGGTTTGTTCTTCAGTGTTGTGTGTTTGCGTTGATAGACCAGGGTTGAATTTTGGAACTTGGGGGAGTTTCTGGGTCACGGTGTGTTTTGTTTAGTCTGGCAGTGTCAAAAGAGTCTGTCATTTCAAGTCAAAGTGGGGAATTACAAGAATAGCATAATAAGTTAATCGTTGGGTTGGTGTGTGTTCTATACAATTTGTATATTGATGAAATGATGAGTGACGACTCCAAATAAGGGAGCACAGCAAGCAGCTTTGCGGCCTAATGCATTCACTCTGGTCCCTCAAAGCAGGGCCATGTAGAACATCAATTGTTTCAGAACCATTACCTTCAGTGTTATGCAGGTTCAAGGCAAGCATAGAGATTCCAATTCCACCAAAAGGGTTCCCCAGGCCCATGTGGGCCTTGGTTCACTGGTTCCTTGAGCGATTTCCTGGTCGACAGCCATCATAATGAGTTCGCTAGTTTGATCTAGTTTGGAATGCTGCTTAGGTGGAGTAGCTCTAGAGCAGATGGCGCAAACCTATACTGTACATCATTTCAGGTGGTAATCCAGTGTTTGGATAATCATACTAATAAGCATATAAGCTACCTTTAGGCATTTCTGTTATCCACTCTAAAATCACATTGAGACAAGAGATGGTCAATGTGTTTCCCTCCTTTCAAAGAGACACCCACAAAAGCACAACACGTAGCGCATGTTGCCTGCCCAGGAAAGCACGGTCCACTGTTTCGCGGGTGCCAGGCGATGGGGTGATCGATAAAGATGAGCTGCTGTCGGTCTTCACTGATCTGGGCCTTCAGATCGGCGAGAAGGAGCTGAAATCCATGTTCGCTTCAGCTGAGACCTGGCAGAGCACACCAAGAAAGCACAGGAATGATAGAATTGTTTTGTCATGATTGCAGAGGGGTGGTGTTTAGAAACGAGCTTTTTGATTGCAAACAGCAAAGCGGACAATAGGCCTTCTCGAGACCATTGCTTGACCTACGATATATCCATATCTGGATTGAGTATATAATGAATTGTTCTCACGTGAGCACAATTCATTACTGAATCATACTCAATCCATGAACAGAAGGGTAGATATGATATATGGAAGCATATCGACATATCGAAGCTTATTTGTGTGGTAGGTGATTCTCCAATAATGATGTGCTTTGACATTCTTCGGTGGCCGTAAAACGAGTCACCCGGTCCGCGGACCGACGGGGCGGGAGATCTACGGGACGGAGCCTACCGTCACGAAATCCGAGGACACATCGCTTTGATTCCTTCTCATCCTTTTTCTATCAGCTTGAGATGATCTGCCCCAATTATTTGCTTAGGCGACGGCTACTGCTTAAAGGAAAAACTGCTCATAGCCACCTGCGGGTTCCCGGGTCCCACTTCGGGAGCCGCTTTCAGCCACTGGTCGTCAAGAAGCACATCGGTGCCAAATCGAAGGCCGGAAGCACATCGGACAAACCCCCAAATTAACGCAACTCATCGGTTTTTTTCAGGTCCACATCTTCATCAGCAGTGATCCACTGATCCACTCATTGTTTTTGCTGGACTGAGGATATCAGTCATGATAAGACGATCGACTACTCGGAGTTTCTGCAGTGGATCTTCAAGTCAGCTCACTGGCAGATCCGGAACCAATTCCTCCAGACGGGCGTCTCATGGTGACCTGACGGATTTGGGTGGATCCAAACGTGAGAAGATTTGAATAGGCACGGCAGCAATGTATTCCTGCCAGGATAGAAGATATAGATGGGAAAATGGGAAACAGAAGTTCCTTCCTTTTTGAGTAATTATGCGGCCTGCGGTGTTGGAACCGCTGTGTATATGTTCTCCGCTAGCTGAAGGGTTTCAGAAGAAAGGCCAAGCGCTCAGGTATAGAATACGGATGTCCTTGAGCGTCCAGTTTCTGGTACACTGCTCAGTCCAAACCCCATGATTGTGGTATAGTACAACACTTTACGACAACAGCCTGCAAAGAGCGTAAGTGAAAGCAGAGTAGTCTTTTGCTAGCGAGATGACCACCCGTTCTAACTGGTAGATGAAATTGGCTGGGTGAAGCGCTTTCGAACCAGGCTGAGTGCAGGGACTCATCCCTCACATGGGTCCTTTTCAAGAAGTAGAACGACAATCTACCAACCGTCGTCGTTCCTTTCAACGACTAGTCAAGAGAGGGAACGATTTGTGAAAGCTATGTCACAGAAGAAACTGAAGGCGGGCTGATACACAGCAGATATGCATAGATATGCCGCTATGCCATTGAACATCTACGGGTCGGCTTCCTAGATCAACCTCTTGTGATTCTTCGGTATAAGTTCCATGATTCTAGGAGTCACGGTCAAGAAACACAAGAGGTCAGCTAAAATCCACTGTAAACAATTAATTTTGCAACCAGATCGCGTGCAGATGCCAGCTTTTCTCAACAGTCACTAGTCGCTCCTTCTGCTGCTGGCTGCGGAAGCTACGTCTTTTGACCTGGCTTAAGGACATACCGCCATGCATGCATACTCCTGTGCGAGAGGGCCATGCTTTCCCGCATGTTTCCACATGGTTTCCACTCACAGCACTTGTGCCTTGCTTTGCGAGAAAGGAGTTTGAGCAGCTTGGGGTATTCAGCAGAGCGGCTTGGTGAGGTTGCGTTAAATGCTGAGCGACTGCAGCGAATTGTCGACGAGGCCAGGACACCCAGAAGACCTCAATACACTTCGAGACGTCCGCCAACTTCCAGGGCCCTGGGCGATGGTACCGGCACTTGGCGATGTTGTGATTGCGGTGGTGAGAAGATGTTGGTGGACTTTTATGTAGGTGCAAAGGGACAGGTTCGCTCTTACTGCAAAAAATGTCACAATCGTCGAGATGCTGATTACAGGCGAACTCTCCGCGGAAATGTGAGTGTTCTTGTCAATAGTGCCAGGCAGCGATCTAAAATGAAAGGGAAGGACTTCAATTTAGACGCTGACTTCATTCTTGATTTGATTCTTTATCAGCAAGGCAGGTGTGCATACTCTGGTGTTGACATGGAGATGCTGTTGCCACACTCAGACTGGCGGATGTCCCTGGAAAGGGTGAACAACGCCGTTGGGTATGTTGCAGAAAACTGTGTTCTGATTGCTGCTGAGTTTAACACTGCTGAGCGAATCAGCAGAAGAGCGACAGTGCAAGCAGCACCTGGATCTTCCAAGTGGTCCCCAGAGAAGGTTCAGAACTTGAGATCCGAGCGACTGTTGAATGTGGACTTGCAGAATTTGGACAAGTTGATCCAGGCAGCACGGATGAAGTATCAGTCCCTTGCTCCGCCTACGAACCTCATTTCCTCTCCATGTGACTTTCAGGAGGGGGGCTGTGGACTACAAAGGTGTTCGCGGTGTGGGCTTTGGAAGCCTTTGGAAAGCTTTTATTTGCGGAGTAGTCGCAGTTGCAGGACCCAGCTCAGAAGCACATGCAAACAATGTGTTGGAGAGTACAACTTTTGGCGTCGAATGACCTTACGAGGCCACGTCCAAGGCATGCTATGGGACGCATGTCGCAGGCACAACCGCGGCAAGTGGCATGGCAACTTTGACCTTGACTTGGATTCTGTGCTGCAGATGCTGTGGTCTCAACAAGGGCGCTGTTTTTACTCTAATGTTCCATTATGCTTTGCTCAGCTCAACGTTGATTGGATGATGTCGCTGGAGCGACTGGACAACAGCAAGACATACACCAAAGACAACACGGTACTGGTGGCGTTGGAGTTCAACACAACAGATCATACCAGCAGGGCGGTTTATTCTGTTGTTGGTTCCAGTCAGTGGTCTAGGAGCAAAGTGGAACGTGTTTGGGGAATATTGCAAGATCCATGACAGGTCAAGATTGGTTTCAGAGCTTGCTGAAATGGTCCATAAAGTTGACAGTTGTGCCTAGTCAAAAGAACATGCTGACTGCACGGAGGGTCTTTTTGCACATCCATCCAAACATGCGATGCTGGACCCACAGATTGAGTTTTGCTCAGTGCGGCTGCTTTGTGCAAGAGTGTAGATTCTTAGATGAGAGAAGGTTGCAGACACTCACCGTGTAACTTGCATAGGGTCTTGGATTCCTCAATACAGCCGATTCCTGATTTACAATCCAGAGAGTAGGTCAAAACCAGTTACTATATACTTTCTGATATGTTTTGCACAGATAACTCAGATAACCGCTGTATTCACTTATTGATACTGGCAGTAAAGCAAATTACAATCCTTTAATGGGTCTTTGCGCCGATGTTAATTCGAGCCGTCGGAAAATCCGTTGTTTGGCTTAGCATCGATGTTGGGGATGACTATGAGCGATGTTAATATGCCCCTAGTGAACAAGCTGTGACAGCCAATCAAAAATGGTCATGACATGGGCAGTCCTTCAGATCTTGAAGGGCAGTTGCCTACCACTCACCTACACTTCAACGTATCCCTTTGCTCCCCCAAAACCCAGACTCTTCCATTGCTTGTCTCCATCACTTTCCACTGTCCCATGCCACTTCTAGTTCACTAGCAGAGCTCTCACCGCCACTCCCAACGCACTGGCACTCCCCCCCGGCAAACACCCCGGCCCCAGTAACACCCCGTTGGCGCCGTCCTCGGCGGGGCCGATCCCTCGGGGAAACGGGGTCGCCCCGAACCCCCTCGTCGACCGAGGCACGGGATCCACAAGGGTCGCAACGCCGTGATCCAGGAGGATCGCCTCACGGTGAAGCGGCAACGCAGCAGCCGCTCGGTGAGAACGGTGTGGATGTGTGTGTGTGTGTTGCAGAGAGAGGACGGTAGGTGGATGGAGGTGAGACTCATGCCAAAGCAGTTGAGGGTTACTTGAGGAATCGTTTACTCACCTGAGTTCTATATACAATGAAAGGATATCAAAGGACATATTGACTTATATAATGAATCAAGCCCTCGCAAGCACTTGGGTCGTATGTGACAACACTGGCATTGGTGGTTTCATAGCCTTGTACCTGATGCCCAAACAAGGTTCATTGCGCTGCAGTTGTGCTTTCAGATTGACAGGGCTTTGGACGGATCTCAATAATCATGAAATGATTAAAGTGATGTCAACGTGCAACAGAGCGTTTCCATTAGAGAATACCACGCAGGGTAGTATTTCAAGGCCGGCCAAGAGACCATGAGAATGATGCCAACAAGGTTTTGCACTGGCAAGCCGATCAAACCACAATTGTTGACAACATTATGGAACCCATGGAATCCATATAATACGTGTCTCTCTCTCTCTCTCCCTCCTCTCTCTCTCTCTCTGTCTCTCTTCCTCCTCTCTCTCTCCCTCCTTTCTCTCTCTCCCTCCTCTCTCTCTCTCTTTCCCTCTGTCTGTCTGTCTGTCTCTCTCTCTCTCTCTCTCTCTTGCTCAAATTAGGGCAATGCCACACAAGACTTTCTGTATCAAAACAATAAGCTCGAATTTTCAGACAAGCGAGAAACCCATGCATTGGTGCTTGCATGTTTCCTGAAAAGCTTCCATAGCTTCATATTGCTTGGGCGATCTCCCGTTTCGACGTTCCGCTCCAACCCCCCCAAGGCCAGGAACGCGCGGAGTTCCCGCATGGACATGCCATTGTGGTGTCCACGGGATGCGCTCGGGAGTTCAGGCCGTGTGTGGTCTAACTGTTTTGAGCAAAACACCGCCCTTGGTTTGAGGTGGTGTTGCGGCAACGAGTTTGACTGTCGCACTCGCAGGTTCCTGTTGGTGGACAATGATGGGGTCTACAAAGGGGGCTTTGAGGCTGGCTTCAGCAGCATGCCACCAGATGAGCTACCTGACCCGCTACCAGAGTGTGCTAAAGAGCTCTCCTGCGCATATGTTTCTTGGACATGAAGTTGTGTATTGAGGTGCACAGATGGAATCTCAGCTATCTTCCTAGGTCCCTAGGTGTCCCATGTGACATTCATGATTTGGGTCTGGAATGTCACCCGAAGAAGGTACAGTGGGAGATAAACCAATGGTTGGAATAACAACCACTTATGCCGAACACTTCCATAGGGTAAGGATCTTTGTTAGATTTTAATTGTACAGGTGTGTTGCGAACCTTGTCAGGATAGCACATCCAACAACGCGTACCCTTGCACTCGCTGATATTGCAGCTGAAACTGACCCCTTGCACAGGGAACAGGGAACCGGTCGTCCACACCATTCTCCCATTCAAACGGTTTGTGGGAGTAGTGCTCAGCGAGGTCAGCCTCCAACCACGTTCGACGCGCCTCCGACCAGCGGGGTCGGTATTTGTCCATCTAGGGGTCTTCCGATGTTTTCAGTTCTTGGGCTATTGGAGTTGCTATTGGATCAAGCCGGCTTGATAGGCCTACTGTCGGTCAATACTCCCATCTCGATGCGAGCCAAGTCCAAGGTGTCGAGCCCGACGGGACATTTGGTGGTGCTGGGCGAAGAGTCGGAAGTTCCTCCGTGGAAGCATCACTTGGTGCCCGGCTGAGGAAGCGATTGGTGCAGTTTCGTTTGGGTCGTACTAAGTATTTGCATTGCAAGCACCGCAGCAATTTACATGGTCAACTAGTCTACACACGAGCAGTGCCGTTTCCGCCTTATGACACCTGGGACAAGTATAGGCCGGTCGCTCAATTTGTTGCACAGCCATATGGGTGCACCCCAAAGCTACGGGTCTGGTGAAGAGTGTCCGGTGACCAACAAAACACGGTTAACGACTGGGCTTAGTAGTTTGCTGACTGAGTGTATGCATATGGTGCGCAGTGCAAGCAGCACAGGGTGGTGCAGCAGAGTCACGGTCACTTGCGATAACTTGAGGGGATTTGAGGGGTGTGTTGGACTCTTGAATTCTTCATGTGATGCAAAGTCAAGAACCCAAATGACTGTAGGCCAAACGCTTTTTTGGTCGTTGGATTTGTGCCTATTTATTTGCGGATGTTGCATGGTATGAGACATTGTAATGAAATGTGTTTGCCAAACGCGTTTCTACAAAAATACAATATTGTATATACTATAGTGTATAATAATATAATGGGAAATATAAATATATGTGGAATGGTACTGCATTCTGAATCTCATTGCCTTTTCGCGTGTATCAGTGTATCCAGTTTCAAGCTTCCAGGTAGCGAGTGGGACCGTGGTGGAGTTGAAATGCAAGGAGGGAAGCTTTCAAGTGCTCCTGGATGCCCGGCTTTGCTAGAAACAAACCTGGTGTTCCATAATCCTGTTGTTGGAGGACAAGCCGCGAAAGCTGTGAAATAGGTGACAAAAACTGAGACTTTAGTCACTGGTGCAATTACCAGCAGTGATTTGATTCTAGATTCAGATTCTGTCCAACTTTTCATGTTCAGAGCTGCTGCCTCGATCCACATGTGTTTGCATTGTTTTTTGCATTCTGGGACGTCTCCAAACAAGGACAAAGTGCAATTATGGCACTTGCCTTGGATGTTCATGTGAGGCCCTTACTTTGCACCCTACCGAGCTTGACAGGCATCCTCTTGCAGATCATGAGGGGGGAACAAAAGCTTGAATGTTGATCACCCACTCCCATGTCGAAGCTCCAAAGCTGGGGTCAAAACTAAAAGCATACTGGATTGGTGAATATTACCCGACGTTCACCGAGGATGGGAAGATCGTAGCCAACTGGCCCTTAGCGGTGCCCGATGAGATGGACTTGTATCCGCTCGTGTGGCTTGGCCTCTATCCGCTCGCTGGGTATGACCAGCTCTGACCAGCTGAAGTAGGTACGGCGGTGTGCTGAAGAATTTGTGAAGGACGTGGGGGAGACCTCATTCCAGGATTCTTCCTCTCACTTCACCAGATATTCCTCACACTTCACCGGATGCTACAGGGTTTGTTTGGATTTGTTTGGCATAGATTCCATCACTGTGAGGTTACAAATGGCTTGAACTTTCAAGAAGACCATAGGGTATTTGTCTTTTGGCATCAGTTTCACGTTCAGCAGAACTCACTCGCTTCACATGGACCGACAGTCATAGCGAGCCGCAACTGCTTGGGAGATGGTCCATGGTCGTGCTTCGAGGTCCGTCTATGGCACCACCTGCGCGATCAAATTGCTGCCAGCGGAGGGCGACGCATGAGGGTTTGCTGCCATCCAAGCATTATGTACTTTGAGCCAGTAAGCTTATGTCCGGTGCAAAATCACGGTATTAAGGAAAGTCTCTATATACGGAAAACCACAGAAAAGTAAAAACCAATCCAAGATGTGGCCAAGACGCTGTGCTGTGAGATGGAAGCTTTGAAGCTTGCCAGGAAGACTCATTACACGTAGAAATACTCAGTACCAGGAAGACTCATGTCATTGTGCTTGGGCAGTAGTTTACCATCTTTGGGAGGGTTTCCCAAATAGCCAGCACCACCGAGAAGCGGCGGTGAGTCGCTGTTGACGCTGGTTGTAGGTAAAAAATTGGGTCAAAAGCCACCAAATTTGGGTTCCCTCCTCGGTAGGTAAACAAATGCTGTCTTTTAACAGGGAATTCAGTGGATTCGCGGGGGGTTTGGCTGTGTATCTTGGTGTTGACCCACATGTCGCATCCGATAAAAGCAGACAAAAAGTGTCTTCAAGCTGCAAAGTGGGCACGCCTCTGTTTGAAAGCAGGTCAAAGACCGCGCCAGGCGTGCACAGCTCGCTGACCATCTGACCAAAACGGCCAGAACGGTGAAAAGCTCTTGATGCTCGGTGCGTTTGGTGACGAGTTTGCTCATTCAATGAGTTATTGAATCACAGTTCTTGTTGCATTGCTATGTGTAAAAATACTTGCAAGAACCTGTTTTCCACCATTGCATCCAAAGTACCAAAAGCTAGCCAACTATTCATGAATGGAGTATAATATAGGGATATATCTACGTCTATGCAGATACAGGGAACCTTTGCAAGCTGAGCCGGGCAGCTGAGGGGCCAGACTCCCGTGTCAAATACACCTTGATGCATGCTGGATTCCTGCTTTTCAGATATGAGTAGTAGAAGATAGAAGGAGTGTTATCCCACTTAGTCTAGTCATTTGGTACTGTGCAGTGAGTGAGTATAGTATTTCAAGATGCAATGAACAAGGAGTTAGCCTATCGAACACATCGAGCGGTAGGCACACCCTCCACTGGCTCCAAGGCAGAGGCACGCACGGTTCAAGTGGACGGAGGTTTCCAGTATTTTTTTTATCAGAACACCTTTGAGGTTGAACGGGTTGGGTGTGATTGGACGGCACAAGGGTGTTGGTGTATTTTTGGGGAATCCAAGAACGGCTTTTCCTTTTGGAAACGCATTTAGGGTTTGACCATCGCAGCAGTTGAACATAACAAACCTATACGCAAAGCAAACATGGTCGCCTTGTGTCTCCTGCTACTGTATGTTTGACACACGGTCTTGACTTGGTGATCATGCCAAGATCGGTAGGCTTTTACTGCCATATCATTACTAGAGAAGGAATGGGTTCTGTACAGTTGCACAGACAAAGAAAGGAGAACACCAAGCTTGACACATTTGATGTCAATGGATGTTCCACAAACTACAGTAACAGCTCTTTCTGCGCCAGTCCAACTTGGAAACGGAGCAGAAGGAGAAGAAGGCCCTTCTACGGATGCTGAAGTGTTGGGCTTTCACCTTTTACGACTCGTGAGTAGCTGGGGAGCCCCCATCATGGCTCTCTGAGGAACCATGGGATCATAGGTGAGCTTCTGACTTACTTTTGAGTTGTGGTCATGCTAGTTTCCATACACTCCATGTATTGAATATAGTTATAACATGTATTAAACTGTTTTTGTATACAGAACGCATCCCCACATCGAAAGCACCCCAAGTCCCCAAGTTGTCGGTAAATGTGCCAGTCCCGTGGAGTGTTTGGGATAGTCATTTCGCATCCTTGGGTTTCATGGTATTGTGCTCGCAACAATGATCAATGGTTGGTAAGATGCTGCTCGTCACCGACAGAAGCATATGGAAAATCCTCATGAATCCACAAAATTCCGCAATGAGGGAGTTATTTCCGGGCGGCGGCCTTTCCACAAGGGCCTCGGTGCTTTTGCTTTTTTTCCCGTCGGCAGGAGGAATCCAAGTCCATGGGATGGGGCATGTTCTTTGCATACTTCGCTTGTGCCTTGGCCAGTATGGCTCGTCAAGGTTGAGCGGTGGTGCGTGCAGACCACGTCGTCAGACGGCACGATGTGGATCACACCCGCAATCAAAGCTGCTGCCATTAGCATTGGACAGCCGGTTTTGGCGGGTGCCGAACTCGTACTAACTTCACAACCAAGATTACAAAGACTGCTGTTAATGGAAATACTGTACACTGTATATAATCATACGAAATCTGATCATACATGGACAACCTCGTCGTTTAGTGTCTCAGTGTTGTGGTGGTCGGAGGGTCTGAGATATCTAACTTCAGTAACGACAGATTGCTCTGGAAGTGCTTGCGTTCCAAAGTCGTGACTGAACCGTGCCGAAGGAGCTGCCTGACCCAAATGATAGGGTCTTGGTCTTGGGGAGCATGGCATGATGACTTGGCTGGGAGATGCCTCAGACTTTTGCCAATCAAGCTGAGGTGGAGCGGGTACTGTCTCCTTTCTCTACTACTTCTACAAGGTGCAAAGCGACCTGAACGAACGAAGTTGACGACAAGGTTTTGCATGCCAACTGAAATGAGCGAACACTGACAGAGCACTTTGATGGTTCAGGCAAAATATAGCTTTCATCAGACCGAGATTCTCATCGTGGATGCTTTCCGGCGACTCCCGCTCTACTGGGTTTGGCCCTGAGCATTTGCCTGCATATATAAGTATTAATGTATACACTGTATCTTGAATGCGGTTGGCAAATTGCAAGTACCAAAGCAAACGACACTTCTTGGACTTTGGAGAATTGGTCCCCAGCTCACTGTAACCATTAAATGTCCCTTCTTTCGACTCCCGCCCATCGTACCAACAACGAAAAGGACCCCATGAAAAGTCTGACAATTTGGTCTTCCAGAGCTTCATTTGTCACCTCTTTTGTGCTCAAAATGGAATCCTTTTGCCACGAACAGTAACTTCCCAGCCAAGCTCAAGGTTCAGCGGCAAATAAGTCAATCTTTTGACATCGTTTCACTGATTCTTGAGCCCAGGATAGCTTATGATTCATAGTGTCTTCACTAACCCCCTCTGAAGGTTTTGCCTGTCGCTGCCAAAGCATCCATTTGGGAGTGTCGAATGGAGCCCCCTTTACCCCTTTACCTCGCGGGGGGGTCGCCCAGAGAGGTGACGAGTGCCGGAGGTCCTGGTCGTGATAGATCCAACCGCGAGAACTCTTTGACATGTTACGATAACTTACCTCCAGCCTCTCCCATCCTCCCATCCCATCCCATCCCATCCCATCCATTCAGTCATTGATTGTTTATGATTGCTGATGTTATTTAGATTCTCTTGGTCCATCCACAATCCACCTCCCTCCACCTGCATCTCGCTTCATATTCGCTTCGCTCAGCCCCCAACGCCGCGGGATGGTGAGATGAACTCCAGAACGGTCGCTCGGCATGTGGGGTGAAGTGTCCAGGTGAATCAACTTGAATGGCTACGAAAATTAGAGACCTTTCAGACTGACTCATTGTATAGTGCTTTTGGGGGAATGCTGTTGCAGGCTCGCAGGAATCTTCAGGTCAAGGCATCAAGCCATCGAAGAGATTGAAGACCACAAGCAAAACTAGCTGATGAGACCTAGGTGACTTCATTTGCTAGATCTACTAGATTGGTGGGATCTATGAGGTGAATTCCAGTAATCTTCAGATGTGGCTTTGAGATGATTAGAAGCCTCAGGTTTGCTGAGACCAGAAGCATCTTTTGGAGAAATGCGACTCTTTGTAGGCATCGTTTGACGCGCCGATGTGATGGAGGATGTTGACTCATGGTTTTATTGACTTGGAAGGCAAAATACTACAGCAGGTTCAAAGGTCTTGATGATACCGGAGTGCATGATTTCATGTCCCAGTTTGTTGATTTTGGTCCTGTGCGTGATTCTGTTGGCATCGGCCATCACAAGGACGCAAAAGGCCTGCCAGAGGACATCAAACTCGCCTTTTGCGAATGGCTTCTTGGCCAAAGCATATTGGTTTCTGGTTAGGTTGGAGGCCATCGCTATTAGCTTGGAGGCCGTCGCTCTTCGGTTCCTTTCGCTCTAGTTTATCCTACGGTCTTGCCGAAGGCCCCTTCCAAGGCAGCCAGGGGAGATCCAGGGAGCCTCCTTCCGTCCACCGAGGTTTGTTGTGACCGATTTAGAAGAGCCCAAAGGTGTCTCTCGTGACGATGTGCGCCGTCCTTCGACGGCTCGTTCGCCAGCAGCATGGGCGATTGGGCTCTTTTCGTGGCGAAAGACACCCTCCACCCAAGAAGTGCCACAGCTTGTCACTGTAGACTAGTAGTCAATGAGGGATGTCATGGGATGTCAATGGTCAATAATGTAATATATATAACATTTTTATGCTACTGTAATCCATCAATCTATAGTTGTTTCGTGGGCTTCATGAACCTGCATGATCAACTGGGATCCGATGTTTGTTTTGCGGGGACAACTACCACATCAGGTGCCGTTGTTTGCGATGGTTTCAGCGAACTCGCAAGCCCATGTCAAACCCACAAGTACTATCAAGTACTCGTACCCTTAATTAATATGACTCTGTTAATAATTGTGTTGTGTGGAAAAAGTTGCCTTGATTGTGTGGCAAAAGCACCCTTCAATCCTTCAACAAGTTTATTTCAGTTTTGATTTGCCTTTCCCAGTTGCATTTTTGCTGCTGGCGTGGGATGTTTAACAGCTTTGCACAAGGAATCCCAAGCACTGTCAAGAAAGATTGATGATAGGTTAAAGTGCGTAAAGCTATATGTCCCTGTGGATCTCAGGATGGCCCCAACATGATGGGTGCAGCATCCTAAGCAGGGCATGTTCTTCTAATTTCGAAGCACTATCAACTAATCACTTCCAACTGTAGCCAACCGCGGGACCACCGCGGGACCAACCGCACCCTCGTCGGGCCGACAACCGCTGGAGAGAGGTACTGGAGCTCATCAGCGAGCTTGGTTACAGCGAGAAGGCAGCAGCTGTAGATGACAAACAGACGGGATGGTCTGACAGGTGGAACTGATGAGAAGTATGTCTTGGTGAAATGTTTGGTTGAAATCAGACTGCGTTGGTGGATTATATTCTTTGCAGAGATAATACATGATGATGTTTTTTCAGGAGATGAACAAGCTTTGTGGATGCAGTCGGCAAAAAAGGATAGAGGTGTTTTTTCCTCACCCCGAAGCCTTCTGGAACAACTCGTTCACGCCATCTTGGGAGCTTGAGCAAGCCACTCACCATCACGCACTGTGAAGGCTCAACCAGCCAAGGACGGGCAGAGTTTACAGTTTCGGTGAAAAACATGTCAAGTCCTGCCTTTGCTTTGCCTCAGCCAAGTCATTCCAAGTTGGTGCGCAGAAGGCCTAAGATGGCTTGGATGAACAGAAAAAGGACTGTCAACACGTCTTCAAGTGCAAGAGACAAGGAGGTCAAATTCAAACGGACGGGAGAAGCCAAGTGCTTGCTGTAGGGAGTGATAATGTGGTCATACAAGAGGGGTTCCCATGAGTCGCTGGATGTTATATAACATCATCCAGACAGGACGACAGTTTGGATCCTTTATTATATTAGAGCTTGGTTCTTCTTCCCACCTCTCTCATGAGGACAGGGAAAGGCAAGAACTAACAGAGAGGGAGCTTGCGGAAGCCATGCTAGTCTTTATCGTGTGTTGTGTGATGTTGATGGAACGGACTGCCAGATCACTTTGCGGTACGGATCAAGTGCGTGCAGATTGTTTCGTCCTCAAACATCCTCAAACTATCGAAACGATGTTCCTTTTTGTTCCCTCCACCGATGCTCCCATTCGGGAGTATTTTGTTAATTTGCATGTCTTGGAAAAGTAGATGTGTTGTCGATCTTGTCCGCTCAGACCGTGCTCCGTCTCTCACTTGCCGAGCGCCCAGGACTTCCTCTACCGAGGTGAGGGCCATATCGAGGACTGGGGAGCGCTCCTGGTTGCTTCAAGCTGTGTTGGGTGATGATGATTATTGTGTTTATTACTTTTTTTACTCATGCTTCAAAGCAACGTGATCAGGTGCTGGGAATGTTCCATGTTTATCCATGTTCTATCTACTATATTAATATTGTATTACTTTGAGGACGGCCGTTCAAGGAGCAATGCTAATCAAAACCGTGCTAATCAAAGCCGGACGGATTTCTTGCTGCAACATTGGTGTCACGGTGTGAGAGTTTCTGCGATTGCTCCTCGATGAAATAAGAGACTGTAATGTGTTTTTTTGGTTTAAGTAAACCTACAAAACTGAAAACCAACATGAAGATGACATGAAAAGGCACTGTGAAATATGACAGCTGTGGGATTTCAACCCACGCGCTTACGCAGTAGAACTTGAGTCTACCCCCTTAGACCACTCGGGCAAACTGTTCTTAATTTTATATAATTAAGTACAACCCTCTCCTGGTAGCTCTGAGCCTATCCAAGACCTTTAGGCCAGTTTGAGTGCACGTGATGCTGGCTGATAGTCTCATGCAATTCGTGACAACCAGCATGAGTGGGGGAGTGGGGGAGCCAGGAGAAGCGGCGCTTGACATGCACCAGCTTGCAGGAGAGCAGCGCAAGTATTGCAAGTAAACAAAGCTTTATATAGATGTCATGCTTCTCGGATTGATTTGATTGTATAATCATGTAAGACCCTCAAATCCACATCGCCCGTTATTCTGCGGTCTCACGCGGTTGTGTTCACCATGAAGTTTGCTAGGACTTTCAGATGTTTACCCTATCTGCGGGAGACGATCCTACTTCTGCCACACTCCTAACTGCACCCCAGAAGCTAGGCAGACTAAGAATCGATCCTATCACGCTCCGTCTCAGGCGGCAACGTGTCGCCCGATGTGGTCACCTCGAAGCAGTAAGAATCAGTCAAGGGCGAATGTGATCAGCAAACCATCGTGGCGACGCTCGAGAGGAGTCGCTGACGCTTCTTTGTGCTTTGCGCGCAGATGCGGAGACGAAGTTGGCCAAACCACAGGCGCGCCTGGCCACAAAGTGTGGGATCGGTCAATTCTGCAAATGGGAAGCATTTTGGGAGTTTCAAGGAATTGATCAATAGTGTATCCTCTTTTTTTTGAGGTGTCGTCAAACGTAGTACGTTGCAGTGCGCGATTGATTTGTGATGGGCATGGGGAAAGCCACATTGCATCTTGGAAGACTATTTCATTCTATAGACTTCCTTACTTGGGTTTCTTATATCGATCTCAAATCATGCCAAGTGCCACGACACACGTGTTTTCAGCAGCGGAAGATTCTCCACAACATTGCTTATCCAGTCCATGCTGGGGTATTGTTGTTGACTCTCACGTGGATGATCCTTGAGTCGCTTCGTGGGCAGTTGACATCACTCGCAGGAGCCCAAAGAGGGCGAAGATCCAATGCCCCAGCCCAAGTCTGATGCTGAAGCACTGGAGATTCTCAAGAGAAAATTCAGGCGAGCCAGCGTCGAGCCAGTGCATTCTGCTTGAGAACACGACAACCGCATGTTGTTGAGAACATAATTGTTTGGGTGTGATTCAATACATCCTGACTACGGATGTATTCAAGCTGATGATAGAACTGTTGTCTTTATGGCCCAGCCGCCTGGCATGCCTTGCAATAGGGTAGACCTCGTGCCTTGCAAAGGAATGCACCAATTCACAATGGCCAAGGATCAGCATTTAGAAACTGGCTGCTAGCAGCTACCAAGATATGTGTGCCAGTAAGAACACTTCGCAACGCTGTGGCCAAATAATCCCCAAAGCCCTTAAGAAGGATAGCCCCAATCGTCCCCAAGTGTTTGGCAGCCAAAAGACACAGGCTTGAGATCAGTCCCCCAACAGTTTTTGGCCCGTGACCTTATAGTTTGGGTTGGTATGTGTTTGCCGAATCCTTTTGAGCACCCCACACCGCTGGTCGCTCTTGTTGAGCCGTAGGCGCGCGGCCTCAGTGCTCAACAGTCAGGGTGCCCAGCATGGTCCTTTTTTGCGTTTGGATCCACGGGTATGATGTTCAGGCCTTTTGCATCCTTTCGTTGCCAGCAGAGACCTGGCCGACCGTAATTCTGAAGGCTGCACTCCCTGAACAATCATGGAAGTGGATGGCATGGTCCTTTGGATAACCATGTTCCACTACGAGCAGGTGGTAAACTTGTTAATTTCATGCAGTGTACCTCAGACTTAGTTTCACTCACTCACTCGTCACATGCCATGCACCCAACTCGTCACCAACGTCACGTCACATGCCATGCACCCATCGCAGACGTGTTCGTTCCAAATCCCTGTTCGACCGGCCGACACGGGGCCGAAGCTGGGGAACACGACACGGCATGGCCCTCAAGGTGCCGAACAGCTGCGGGCTTGGCAAGCGACGGCAGGCCGACGGGTCGGTGGCGCAGAGGGAGGGAATGGTCTGCCCGCGGAGGGCAGAAAGGTCTGCCATGTTTGTCTTTGAGGTCGTGATCGACTTTTCGGAGGACATCCAACAAACTCACAACACATGCAAACACGGTATGATTCATATCGATTCATAATATGATTGTTTGTGAAACAGTGTTCAGGCTGTTCAGGATGTTTGGCTGTAGAGTTCAACAAGTGACAGGTTGACAACATCCTAACAGGTGTCAAGACACATGGTAGTATTTGACAGCAACAGCTCGTAATATTTCTGACATATTTGTGTCTTCTTTGAAGGGTCGTTTGAGACTCAGACTCAGGTGCTCCCGTCGCGACGGTCTCAGACGGGCTGGGACTAGCGGTGTGGGAATAGCGAATCACAGGGAAGTCGGCAACAAACCGACGTTAAGATGCTTTGATTCTCCTACACATGGAATTTTGATATTGTGTTTTTTGGGGTGCACATGGTGTACACAGCTTCAATGGTCATGGTTCATGAATTACATGGTTTCAAACAAACAGTTGGGATGGTCCTGCAATCTGAAATTGCTTGAACTCATTAGGATGCTTCTTCTGGACTTCTTGACCAGGTCGTTTATATATGTGTGAAAGCCTGTTTAGAGGCTCAAATCCTTGGGAATGTGAGCGGATGACTCAGTCACCACATAGAGATGATTCCTTCAAGACTTGTTCTTTCTCTTGCAGCGTGGCCCCATCCTTTTTTAGGTTCTCAGCCTGTGACTGTGTAGCCCAGCCGTCATGGAGAGCTTTCCGCGGCCACGCTATTTGCTGGGCTTCAACAACAAAGCCAGCGAGGAGATCCGCTCGATTGGGTCAAGACGAGAGCCAGCTGCTGGCTAAATGGACTGTGGAGATGAACACACTGATTTTTTCTTCAAGAAAATGGGATCTCGTGAATGAAGAAAGGAACATGCAAATAGCGATTGATCCGGATTTACTGCACAAGAATCTAAGTGACAGTTTGACACGTCTCCTTGTAGTTTGGCCGTGATTGATGTTTTTGTGCAACGTTCAAACGGCTATGGGTCATAATGTCACCGCAGGTGAACCTCTCAACCGCGAATAGACTGGCGTAGAAATGAAAGGGTCTACTGGTCTACTTGTACCTGAAACATGTTTACTTGGATGTGCGGTCAGAGTTCTTTTTTTTGCAGGAGCTAATGCCTCACGTGCAGGACTCAGTGCCAATGTCTTGCAGGCTTGCATTCACGATGTGCCAATCTTACTCAGTGCCAAAAATCATCGTGAATCCGCATCTCTTGTATTTTTGATCGTGAATCTTGTGAGGAGATGTTGGTTTCATCATGGATCCCTGGAGCTCATAACATCTTCAATCTGGCCTCATGAGGCTTTCCATTGCATAGCTCAGTCCTCCAGTATGTTATGATTTATGATCTATATAATGGATATAATTATTGCACAAGTAGTACAACGATTGAACTATGCCATCGAGGATCAAGAACGTGAACGTGTATAACTCCAGAACTGCCGAACTTCACAGGTATAGGCTATAGGAGATAAGTAAGGCCCCAAGTTCCAAGCTCTTCGCCATGTGATGGTCAACATCCCAAGAAGTGTCGTCCATGAAAATCACCGCAGTCAGACCCTTAAGCGCAGTCGTGTGATTCGACCTAACTACCTATAGACATGACTCAAAAAATACAATCCAATTTGTCCTTTCAGCGGTGGTACCCCCCCATGGTTCCCTTTTCGGAGCCATAGTAGCCGGACCGAATATATCGGTGTGTGGTCCATGATGGTCTATGGTCCCTCGCCTGGAATCCAGGTGAAAGAATGGCTACTGGAGGCCGGTCTTCAGATCGACCTGGATGGCCTTGGTGCCAAGGTCATTGGCCGGTCGCCCTTCCTGGTGGTGCCTGTGCTGTGCAGGGTTGATGCGATCAAGACCCAAAAATCCGGGAGGAGGATCACTTTGGGTCAACACAGATCGTTGGAATTTGGCTGAAGCTGTGCTTGGTTTCTTCCAGTGATTCGACATGACGCGCATGTGACGTGATGTTGGTTCCTGAACGTGAAGTCTTCAGCACAATTGGTATGGTATGGGTGTGGGTCAAAACCCCGGAACGTTGCTTGACCCCTGCACATGAACCGAATATATTCGAATCCTCTATTTACCTTCCATCTCAAACCTTCCATGTCCATCACCCAATGGTTAAACTCGAGCTTCGTTCCACCTTCGTTCGGAAAGACTGAGGTCAGTGCCGAGCGTTCTGCCTTGGAGCTGGAGGCCGAACGCTTGGGATATATCAAGCCGCACCGGGCACTGCGACCGTCCGGGCTCCCCAGCGGCGCCGATCCGGACGTGACGGTTGAGGGCGAGGGAGAGACCAAGAAAGAGAGGCGGATTGGTTGGCGAAACAGATGAACAGTTGTGGTCACGGTTATAGAGTTGCTAACTAGTGGAGTATGAGTGAGGGTTGTGGAGCACCAAGCAAACAAGAGTTTAGATGAAAGCAGGACATGTGACATGTGCCCTGGAGGCATGTGAAAGATCAAGACTATGGAAAGATCGAATTTGAGCCCGTGCCTGAGTTGCTGCCCAGGACCAGTTGGTCAGAAGTGTTGGAGCAAGTTGTTAGAACAAGTCATTGACTTTAAAAAACTTGCAAGATCATTCTGTTGGCCAAACAGATGCAAACAGTCGATGGAGAGCTGAGAGCAGAACTGCTGTCGGTGGACATGTGCGGAACTATGCCGAGGGGACAACCTGACGAATGGGTGAAAGGCTCGCCCGAATGGGTGCAGTGCTGCAGTCCACTGAGCCATCGAAGTGAAGAAGGAAGACGTTCGGTTCGTGGCTGGAAAGACATGGATGTTGTATAACTAGAAGCAAACCAAAGCACCAATTAGAGACACAACATGCAGGAATCCGGAAGAGCCGTGGTCACGGGTATTTTTTTTCTAGATGACGCATGTAAACTTTGATGTCCATAAATTCAGACAGAAGGCTGTCCTGTCCTCATGCATTCCATTCCTTCGTTGAATAAGTTGGCCCACTCTGAAAAGCTTAAAAGGCACCAGTGAGAAAACAAAGCTTGCGACAAACAGAAAACTGGGAACTCCGCACTCAATAGGTAATCTGAGTTGGTCATTGAGCAAGTAGGTTCCCTTGCTTTTTGATTTCTGAAGTGCATCCGGTGAATGGTAGCGAACCAACATCGACCATTCAAACGTCAACTAGAGAGTTTGCTAGAACCATCTTCTAGCGACTCTGGTAGAAGAACAACAGGCAGGACGGCAGGACTGCTTTTGTGCCTAATTCCCTCCAACAGGTGTTTGATGCTTCTCGGAGAGGTGCCTTGTAGCGCCCTTGCTGCTGGTAGTAAGGCCAGGAGCCGCTAGTAGCTTCTTGTTCCTAGTAGCAAGAATCCTAGTAGCGATGCCAGGAGCCCCTAGAAGCGTCCTGGGTACCCCAAATCCTGAGGGTCCGAACATTACCGGTTGAGTTTTGGGTCCTGCTCGAGCTTTGGAGGCTACATCGGCTACGAGGAGCATGACTTCTGGTTGTCACTGGGATTCACTGGGCGGCGCCGAAAGCTAGCTAAGCTGAATTCACCAAAACGACATATTGCCCAAGACTCACTTCTTTTTTACACCATAGTAAGAGGTTGGACATGGTTGCACATCACTGGTCCTCGAATGTTCCAGCCAGCTGGAATGAAAACCAAACTGCAGCAGTGAAATTATGACCAGATATGATGTTTGTTTGTTGCAAGTCCATGTACACCAATGATGCGTTGATATTCAATGCCATAATATCATATCAGTACCATTGCAATTGCACAGCAAGCCACTGAAAACAGAAACTCTCTCTCTCTAAATCCAGGTGTCTTGTCCCAGTTCCAGGTGATGTGGGTGTGTATGAGAAATAGGGAGACCTCCCAAAGACCCCCTGAAGAAGGAATGTATATAGACAAAAAAGAACAACACCACTGGTTAGCTTGCAAATTAGTGTGTATAGGGTATGACTGGTAGTGTGATGATTTTAACCCATGCTTGAATGCATTCCTCACTGACACCCAGTCTAACATCCACAATGTGCAATGCAAATACACTTATGTTCAGGTGACTTGGGTGACTGAGGCCGTGTAGTCTAAGTCGCAGTGCTACCAATATCAGCCTCGAGACCACTATTCATGTATAGGGGGGGGGCGTTTTTCATGTTTTTTTCATTTAAGGACCGGGGTTACCAAAACCATATTGCTTGGGTGTCTCACTGTTCAAGTACGGCGGAGTGTGAAGAGCCTTTCCTCGGTCAACCGGATGTTCCACCGGAACCGTCCACCCGAACTGGATCCGAGGCCCTGTGAGCGAGTGCAGCTGCTTCGGCATCGGATTGAAGAGGTGCCAGCGCCCAAGGAGCAGATGAAGCAGTTGAAGGTGCTGGAGAAAGGGGGGAAGGCATGGCTCCAGGTGCCATGCTGGATGCTACCATGTGCTACCATGTGCCAGCTTCTTGACCTGTCTTAGCCAACGAAGTATGTATCGATTTACATCATTTGACAGGCTTTAAGGGTTGTGTATTATTTTGGCATCGTTTGGCCAATTAATGTGTCTCTGTGTCTCAAAGAAGAACTTCCCTATCATCAATGTGTCGAGGGATGTGATCTATCTTCGCGGTTCGACAAGAATCACCAAATTAGAATCAAGCACCCAACACCACAGACCCAACACCCAACACCACAAGGATATTGCTTGGTGCTGTGTCCTTCTAGCTGTCCTTCCAGCACCCAACCCGCCACCAAGCTTGAAGGACACAGCACCTAACCCACAGCACCAGCCACTCACATGGTTCGGTTGATTTCAGGCAGCACGTGACACCGACCAGCCAAGTCTTGGACCGACGGGTGACGCATCCGGCCGTTTCCGGAGGTGCGGCACAGCACGGCGTTGGCCGTCTCCGATCGACTTCTGCCTGCTTTGAAGATTGCTGGTTTGGTGGATCCTGGAGATGCACTGGGAAAGAAGGGCGATCAGCAACAAATTGGTTTGGTTCTGCGGCCAGAAGATTTCCGATGGTGATCAGCGAGTTTGATGGAGAAACGTGCACTAGTTCTAAGTCCTCTTTAATATTGAAGCAGGATTTCCTGTGTTTCCAAGGATTGCATGGTGCCAATGGATGACGACATCAATGATGACCTCGGGAAAGAGCGCCGATCCATGTGGAAGGACCGAAGACGTCAGCACCCCTTCGCAGCAGTTCACATTGCCTCTCATGCGTGAGGAAAGATACAGTAGAACATTGGCATATATATGGAGTGGCATTGCTTCGATCTACAAGTATGTCATCTTACTTGATTGCGGGTCCAGATGTAGAGGGTCGATGGGACACGCGCTTTTTCTTTCTCATCATGAACCATCTATTGTGAGCATGTAGGCCCTTGATGCTCATTGTTCTGGCTCACACTGCCAGTCGAAAGCTGATGTTCCGCTCTATTAAGGCAGACGATGAGGCCCTTGAGACAAATGTTGGAGCATGCTGCTAACCCCCCATGCCCCAGCTCATCCCCATCCGCCAACGGATCATGGGATCCAATTGGGAACGTGTTTATGCTTCAAGCGAACAGGACAAGACATGTGTTTTCTTGGGGAGGCCCTGGAAGGAAACCTCAATGGACACAGATGGAAATTACCAGCGAACAGTAGAAAGACCCCTTTGTGCCCAACGAACAGCAGTCAATTTGAACACCTGAAGTTCTGAAGACAGCAGACTGGGGCCTGGAAAAAAAAAAAAGAAACAGCGGAAAGGAACGAGCATCCGGAAGATTGCATCATCACCCTTCGAGTGGAAGTCTTTTGAACCAGTCTCATGGAGACCCAAAGAAGAACCCATTGATCCATACATCCAGACTCGAGATGAAAACATCATCAATCTCTCAGAGAGCCATGGCATCGCTCCAAATGGTGCCTTGGTCCGTGCGGGCGCATCCGCGACTGTCTGCGGGTTTGGTGATGAGCTGTGTGGGGAAGCCATGGCACAGCGTCCGAAGCACCAGCAGCAGCTTGGCCGGTCGGGAAGCGTTTGTTTTGATGGCAGAGATATCTTGAGCAGTTGTTTTCCCTCGTGGCGACCCCTAATCAGATGCCATGGAAGTATAGGCAGTCATTGTTTGATTTGGTCGAACTCGTGTTTCCATCTTTATAAGATGAAGCGATTGAGGGACATTTCGGAGTTTCAGCATCGTTATGTGATTCGCAGACGTTTGCGTTCCCTGTTTTGGTTCACTACACTGGTTCACCATGTTCGAATGTTCACCCATTGCCGACAGCTGCAGCTTCGTGGATGCTATATACCTAAGAAATCCCAATGTTCTCCGTAGTCTGAGTCGAGCCAACATGCACACACCGTCGGTCGCACATTCACATATGAAGTTTGAATGCATGTTGCTTTTGAGTCAACCAGGCAATGTCAGCATCTCCTCCAGCAGACTGGAGAAGTTCATGAAAGCTGAGATTGACTACTTCGCACAAAAGGCTCCCCAGCCCGTCCCTCGGCAGAGACCACGCTCGGCCGAGACCGACGACGGACTGGGGACGTGCGGATGTGGGATCATAGGGATGGGGGATGAGTATTATATTAATATGACTCGTATTCTTTCAGCTACATGTCTCAATCTCGGTGGGTGGTAGTTTCAGCCAGTTTGTTTATGCTTGTTTTGATATGTGCTGATGATTTGTGTAACACGTTCTATAATCTACTTGAGATGATTGGCCCCACCGTATGATTGACATGTTTTTCATTGGCTGTTGATTCAGTTCTCTTTCGTTGAAAACACCGCGATCACCGTGAGGTGCCATCCGCTTGCTTCACGCCGCCATCACTTCCGTGAGGTGCAACTGGATCAGATCATCAAGGCCTCGACGCCTTCGGAGGTCGCCAGTTTGATCCACAACAACCTCCCCGTGCACTTCGCCACGCGCATCAAGTCACCTGGCGAGGTCCCGTGAGTTCTTTTGGGGGGGGATTGCCCAGTCACCGGGGGAAAGAAGGATATTGAGCCTGAAGAGTGTTCTTGAAAGATGGTGTTTACACCACGGAAACGACAGTTAAGGACAGTAAGTCTTTGGTTTGGACATGTTTGGACCGGTTCATTTTCTTCATCCCGCTGATCCGCTGGACTGTCGCTGCCGGGGCCTCGCAGTTCGGCTGAGGCACTTGGAGGTGTTACCTCGCTGGTCCCAGGTGCCGGAAATCCAGGATGTCGCTGGGCGGGTGAAGAGGTGGGTCATGTGGTGTGGGTTGGCCAAAAGGATGGTTGGCTTGGTCAGTGAATAGCTGACCAACTCAACGATTCCAGCATTCTTGATGAATCCTGTCTACTGTAAGTTCAAGTCCCAAGTGTTGGGTATTGCAGGTCTTTGCACAACTTTGCTTTGGTTTGGAGTCAGCCTTTCATGGACTCTCTGGAGCTTCGCATTGGAAGGTTCATGGTAGCCCCTTTGGCCGTTGGAATACAATTCCTATAATATATATATAATATATATATTCCTGTTTCCTTCTTCCTGCAGACCTAGGAGCACAAAATACATACCCCAAAATGGGCTTTACAATGTTTCACAGCAGGCACCCTAAAACCAGCAGCATGTTGTCTTCAGCAAAACCAAGAAATCATCCAGCCCTGGCAGCCCGCCAAGAAGACGGTGGCGAACGCAGACCAAGGTGCATCGGATCCTCTCAGACTCCTTTCGAGGCTTTGGCTGCGCTCATCCACAGTTTGGACCTGATGATATTGGCTTCTAATAGCTTCTTGTTGCTACTAGTAAGGCACTTGTTACTAGAAGCGATGCACTTGTTCCTAGTAGCTTATTGTTTCTAATTATGCTATCTTCCGGCTCGTCACTAAGGCAGGTGATGGGACTTGTTATGTATCATATCACGTATTCCACCTGCCGATTGCTTGGGATACCGTCGACCTGGAATGTGTGATATTCCGATATTCCATCTCTGGAGGGGTCTTCTATAACGTGAAGAATAGCTGAACGATCATGGTTCTCGATCGAGCAAGAAAGCTTTAAATTACAAACAATGATGAACTATATTGTTTGTAAAATGTATAATTTGAATCGAACTTGGTATGTGGACAGTATTTTGGCCACTGCTCTTTTTGTGCGAGATGCACCCCTTCCATGCTGTTGCTGGACACAGTGACAATGTGCTACTGGAGAATGCTGCAATGATTCAAACCAGCTGCCAAGAAGATGTTGAACTATCGCATGTGATGCTCTTTTGATGGAGGTGGTGTTTACCGAGCAGCTCCCCACCACGCCAATTCAAGAACAGAATCAGACTGTTCCCAGACATCTCCCCTCTCCTCACCTCAGGAAACCTCCGCTTGGCGGAGCAGGGGCCGGACCTCAAGGAGGTCACGGAGGTGATTGCGGACCTGCGAAGAAGGCACAAGAAGGCCCGGTCGCGCCACGACCGAAGGGGAGCCGGTCGCAGTGTGCGGGTCACTCCCATGAAATGACGACGCCAACAAAAACAAGACTGGTTCCCTGAGCTAAATTAAGGGGTGGAGGGAATAAGAAACACATCTCAATACATCTCAAAACCGTGAGTCACAACGGATGGTCGACCGTCAACCGTCAACTTCGTGGATCGAGGTGTCGAGTTTTTGTGAAGGCTGTTTTTATCCGAAGCCATGGCGAACCAGTTTCGGGTGTGTGTTTGTGTGTGTTCTCACCCCGTAGAGAAAAGGAGAACGAAGACACCACTGTCTGGGCTTCTCACACCCCACCAATCACCCTACACCGGCCCCATCCCACCGTCATCACACCGCTGCTGTGCTGACCACTCCCTGCGCCGACCACTCGCCCGAAGTTCCTCCAGGTGGTGCCCCTCTTGGGAGAGGCCATTGCGCAGCTCAGTGACTCGGCCGTCACGCACGTTGGACGGCCGTTCGGGCGGTGGACGGAAGCGTGGACGGCAAGCCGGCGGTAGTTGCATGGTTTTTCTGGAGGGGATGTCTTTGGTAGTGTTAAATGATAGGACACTGGACCAATGCTGCAAATTCATGGAAATGGCGAAATGGCGGATTTCTGCTTTAAAATGTTTAAATATTTTGAGAAGAATACGATACTCCCATTGCAGTGGCCCGCACAGCAATCAGATGATGTAGGTGAACCTTTCCACAAACCTTCAGTCACTCTGATGATGCTGAATAAACCTTCATGTTACTTTTCTAGTGTGTTATAGACAGGCGCCGGCGTTGCTTTCTTAACTTCTAGTATATATGTGTTCCTGATTGATTGGTTTATGAGATTACAACACATATCACAACATAATACATCCCCACAATGCACCGCAAGAAGCTGGGGCATCCCAACTTCCCAACTGAGATTTGTTTAGCTGCTTGAACCACGCGAACCAAGGACACGATGATCTCATTGATGAGAGTTTTGCCAACAAGTGGCTTGATACCTTTTTGTGGCTTGGTGGAATCACGTGTTGGTTCATTCAGAGAGCCACTGATTCTTGTTGATTCTGTTGTGATTCAGTTTCCTCCACCAACTGCTTTTTGGTTACACCCCAGTCTTGGAACTTCCTCACACGGATATCCAAACAGTTGAATTTAATCATCGATCACCGTGACTGTTGAGGTTTCTGAAGTGGACCAGATCAAAAGATGTTGTCCTGCTGAAGATGAACATGGTGAACAGGTTGTAGATGGATGTGCATCCCCAACAAGCTGGCTCAAGACGTTCAAAAATACTAGTGCATGCGCTGAGGGTGTCCTGTGTGTGAATCGTGGCACTGAAGTTCTACAGTCATCATGTTTTTTGTTCATTGAAGTTCTAGGACCACCACAAGTAGCTTCACCCAGGGACGAAGTGAGTGGTGCGGGGTGGCATTCTTGTTCCGCCCAGCCTTCTGCAAACTGGCGAATCTTGCGATAGCATGTTTCAGCTGTTCACGCCCCAAAGAAGAAGATCCCTTGGATAACCCATCCATTCGCGTCCTTCTATTTCTCCAAACATCTTCGCATCCCATCTTAGCAGACTCCAACTGTGCCCAATCTTGGGGCGATCTCCCTGAGGCTTGCACGAATCAGCACCGAGATGTTGACCCTGCATTTCATGGAGATGCAGGACAACAGTGTCAGAAAAGCAAAAGAAAACATATCATCCGTTTCTACAAGATAATCAATTGAGGTGCTGTTCAATTGAGGGCCCATGTTGTTCGACAAATAGTTGAAAGGTCTAGTGGTGGTGGCCAATGAGTTTGAGTGCAACATGTTGTTCGGCATATTCATACTATTAGTTCTCCCACCAAAATCCGATCAAGAACTCGTATATAGTTATTTCACTTATATATTTCAGTTGGACCAACGGAGTTGTCTATCTACTCTTCGGTCTCAAAGAACCACATGGCTACCCTGTGCCACCATGGCTACCCTGTGTCCTGTGTCCACCATGTTCCATGGATGTTCCACGGTGGGAAGAAAGGGAATCGTTCGACAGGGAAGACAGAGTGGGAGGTGCGACTTCTTTGGTGGGGGAAAAAAAAACAATACACAGGTATAGGTAAGGAATCAGCAGAATTCATGGCTTTAAGTTGGCTTGAGTTTCTTTGTTTCTCACAACATGCCTGTTTGGGGAGATGTCCATCTTCAGGTAATCTGGGAACCAACATGTAGCACCACGCTGGAATCTGGTCCCATCCTAGCTTTGGTCAACACTGCACACTTGCTTCGGTCCAGAGTCCAAATAATCTATATGTCTTGAATTGACTCTCTGAAATAACCAGTGAGAAGTGGATGGCATGGCCCTTGCATGACCATTCCATTCTCTGAATATGAAACATATTGTGAACTCCACCTCCTGATGAAATCAAGAAAGTGTATATATACTTTTTATATATACTATATACCTGGTAACATCACCCTTCAAAAACCACATTAAAACCAAACAGAACACTTGAAACCGGGGTGAAGCTTTGCCACCCTCCGGCACATCAGCGCGCCCTCGATCTATAACGGGAGAGGAGTGCTACGTGGAGCACCGTGGTGGGGACACCTCGGTCTGCACGGGCATCGTGGACCGGAAATGCGACCCGGTGGCCATCTGCGAACGGGCCGTGGACAACGTGAAAGGCGGGGGGGGGACCGGGACCGGACGAGTCCGGACGTGGAGGGACCGCTGGGACCGGGGACGGTTTGATTTCTGTTTTTGCAACTGGAGAAGCCATGGAGAAAAAGGCCGAAACAAAAAGGGGGGTGGGGGGGACCACAAAAGTGGGACTTAGGATGTTGGAACATGTGGTAAAAAAGGGGAGGACTGGACGTGGTACGACATCCATGTCTCCACATCGACTGGAGCCATTTAGGCCGACGTTGATACCTCGCGCAGCGGCAGCGCCGACGTTGAACATGTTTCCACACCTTTGGGGATTTGGACTCGATGTATGCAGCCAGGTGAAGGGATCGGGATATAGCTGTTTACCCCATCATGGCAGTATGATATTATAGAGACTACAGAGTGTTGAATCCTCTTGGCCGACCTGACAGATAGGGCGCCAGACAGCAGAGAGGCATGTGGCATGCGTGTTCTAGTAAGGACCCGAGATGTTGTCATGTTTAGAGTTGTGAACCCACAGAGAGGTGTTAAACGACAAGAGTTTCACTTCCAGGTGAACCTTCAAAAGGTAATGAGCTCCAATCAGGGTCACATCTTACCAGGGCCTTTATGGGTCCCAAACGCCCACAGGCTTGAGATGTGACGATAGCTTGGGCGAGTACGGCTGCTTGGTAGGAGATGTTCAGCAGGTTTGAGGCTTGCTTTGAGTATGTGTGTTTCATTGTTTTTTTTTGTATGCCCAAAGGTCTTAGCAAAGAAGGTCTGGGATTTGCAGATCAAAGTTCACTAAAAGATCACCAAAGATCAAAGTACATTCTTGATAAACAAATTGGCCATACAGAGGTTCACCTGGCTCTCATCATAGTCTACAGTGACAAGCTGAACGGCAGGTGCTGTCGTTCTGTTTCAGGCGTCAGGGGTGGCATACAATGAAGCAAAGCAAACATCTCATGCCATGGGTGCTGTTTGTTTGGATGCCATAGAAGCCCAAGTGCCAGCAGTGCGCATTTGCTGAAAATGAAGCAGCCAGCAGCCAACTGTCACAAGATCAAAATAATCAATTCTCTGACCATTCTGGATTTGAGTGGCACATATATACGCACTGCAGGAACCGAATTGTTTTGGAGAAAATTCTTACGGACATAGGGAGACTGATCAGCCCAGCTGGAACCATACAATTGTTTGAGTTGATGCCAAGGAGAAGTTGATTTCGTGGTCGAGAACAATCCCTGTACTGCTTCGCAAGGTCACTCGGGATCAGAATACCAAGTCGGAAAATATCCGTGCACCTTTTTGTGAGGGGAAGGGCTTGCAGCACAGCTCAGTCTCATTTTGGAAGTTTGTTCCTCACATAATTGGTGAGATTGGTGAGAATTGAACTCCAGGCCCTCGGGTCCAACCATGGTCAGCCTCTCGTCTAGCGGACCTACCATTTTAGTATCCCACACATAAAGGGCAAATCATGGCAGACATGTCAAGAGCATCAAGTAACCAAGTAGTTTTTGTTGGTTCATGCATGCGAGGAGTACTGGTACAAAGGCGAAAAGCACAGTGTTTTCCAATGCCGTGCACGGAGGATGGATTTGAGTAGATCTGACAAGGTTGCGGTTCAATCATGCAGACTTTGTTGAAGTTGTCCAAACTTTGGTCGCAATTATCAATTAATTGGAATTTGACAATTCGGTTTCACTTGCACAATGTGCCCGGCTGGACCTATGCCAATGTTTTGCTCCAGTTATCCTCAGTTACAGTTTCCAATTTCTTGTAGATTTTGCAAGGGGTCGCTGGCAGATGAATATACAATTGAACATGTCAATCCTTCCAAGACTGACATACTCTAAGGTCCTAGCCAACAGATTCTTGTTATTTCTTACAAAATTTCTTACAAAGACCCTCAATGTCAGAGGTGTTTGTCAGATTCGATGCCGTGAGGCAAGATCGAATTCTCCTTCTTGCCTCGCCCCTTGGTCGCATTGATCGCCCAAGTCCTCACCGCCAGGGGAAAGTGGACCGACTGGTCCTCTCAAGCAGGTTTCATATCATTTTGTAGCGGGGATGCTTTGGAAGCCTCTCTTTTCCCTGGCCTTGATAGCAAGTTTACATCAGAAATCATCAGAAGCAGAAGCTTAAAAGAGTTGTCGAGGCTTCACATCCTCGCGATTTCGTGCCCCTTCATGCTGATGTAAGCCTCTGATGTCTGCTAAACACTTGTCTTTTTGTTTTGGTGTCCGATTTCCGACGCCTCCGCACACGGGGTGACACGAGACGAGCATGAATGTAGACACTGATGTTCAATGCATTTTTTGCAGACCTTGGGCTGGAAAAAGGTCGTCAACCTGGGCCCATGGGCCTGCCAAATCTATCTAAGAAAACAAGCACATGACGGGGACTCACCGCCAACGAAGATGTTTAAGAAGCTCTGAAGACCTCAGTTCATTGCCTCGCCACAAATCAAACAGCTGGCAGTTTTCCACCATGTGTTCTCGCCTGAAATCTGAGGTTACTTGCTGCTTTTGATGGAAGAGCTGCTGAAAAACAGCGCCTACGCGACGTTGCTCACCCGCGGAGATGACCCCCGTGGGCTTCAGCACTTCCCGGTGACGATCACGCTGGGCTCCAACAACCAGCAGGCGGAGCACAGAGCAGGGAGCTCGGAGCTCACCAGTTGCGCCGGGGGGGGGGTCTAAAGACTGATGAAGTTTGGAGGGCGGAGGGTTGGTCGGTCATCCATTTGGGGATGAAACGAGTCTTTTGATGGCCTAGTAGTAGATTTATGTGGTCCTTGAATACAGCTCAATCGGAAGTTGAGAGCTTCATCAAGTTTCAGAGTTGAAATTTGAAATGCCTCTCGAGGTTTCCTGTGGAGAGATATCCCCAGAATTGAAATGGCTTCAAAGATCTTCGAAGCTGCCCCGGCTGTGCCACTGGATCCAGTGATTCGTTGATGCAAGTCAAGTCAGTTTTTGACTCGCAGTAAAGAAACTGGATGTTGTGGGGTGGAATCAATCAGGCCTTCATGCTGATGCGTCTTCGTTTCGCTTGACCGTGCTACCTTGGACAGAAGGATCTCCACTCTACAGCAACGCGCAAGTCAATATCCATAAGACTTCGAGAGGTCCAAACCCATTTGAAGAGTTTCCTGCATTGCATGCACACAGGAAATCATTGTTTCTTGTTTGCGCTCCCCGCTATTGAGACCTCTCCTGGTAGCAGTTGACCAATGCGCTGTTCAGCCCCACCAAACATCCAATTTGGTTGCTTTGAGTTCAAAAGTCATAATTAGACGCTTGGCAAACTGACTCCTAGGTCCTATAGTAGTCTAATTCTTGAGCAGTAGACCAGTGTCATTGCGACGTGCTGAAAGGAACTAACTAAGTGTAGCAATCCAAATCAGTGTGATCTTTTTGCACTTCACACCTTTTTCTTGCCAAATAAAACAGTGCACACACCCTTCCATCCGGAAAAACATGGGTCCACTCGTGACCCACGCCGTCACAGGTGGTGATCAAGATCAGCGACCGTGGCTCGGTGAAGCGAACGAACGGGTGGACTTCGAACACTCCTGGGTCCCTCGGGGTGAAACATCCATGCTGTGGCTATCCAACTCGGGTTCCTATCAGGGTTCCAAAGAGGATGATATTACGACAAGATGTCGGGGGCAATGGGGGGGAACCTAAGCACCAAGTGGATGCGCACCACAGATTGCGGCCACAGAAGAAAACAACTGAGAAAAAAGAAAGAAAAGACAAATTGCGGCCACACAAAAAACGGCTCAGAGAAAAAGACAACAGCTGATGCCTTCCATTCCACGCCCGCGTTTTGGCTGGCTTCCTTTGGGCCGACGTCGGGAGGCTCGTCCGGTCCGGTCCCCTCCCAGGTGGCGGCGGAGTGTCGGAGGTCTCGGCGGACAAGCTGCGCCTCGGTCGTCAGAGGTCGACGCGTTCGACTCGTGAAGTCCGGCGGAGGGTCAGTGAAGTGTGTGGGAACAGCAGGACTTCGGCATGACTAGATTCGATCTAGATTCGATGACCCTTATGGTCGGTATGCTGATACGGTATGAGGTCACCAAACAGAAGAATGCTGCCTCACGAGGCCTGTAGAGCCCGATGCATCCCTGGAATCATATTGATGGAACTTGTTGGGGTGGGAGAAAATTGGAGCATCGGACCAAGGATGGTGGTCAATAGGATGATATTCCGTTATCCATACTTCTTGTGTACTTCTTGTGTACTATTATATGTGGTTTTATTTGTGTATGACATGTTACTCTAAACTGAATTCAAGAAATGTATATGGAGCAAGGACGCTACTAGGGGCTGGCCCTACTAGAAACTCCATATACATTTCTGTAGAAAACACCATAGAACTCCATCTATGAACTCTCTGGCCCGACCCGGTCGGTCACCTCGTCCGACCTTCGGACCTCGTCCGACCAGCGAGGTGGTCCTACAGTTGGTCTCGCCGCCTTGGCAGCTTCGCCAAGCCCATGACGCCGCTGGCGGCTGGGACGGCAGAAGACCAATTGAATAGATGATATAAGATATATATATATATATATTCTATAGGTAACTATTAGTGTGGTATTTTGTGTCATTTATTGTTTAAAATTACTTCTTCCCATGAAGAGGATTGATGGGCCCAAACGCCCCATGTTTGGGACATATTTACCTACATTGACCTCTTGCACCACAACAACTGATCGGTATGTAATGCATGCCAATCTCATGATGGAGTGTTTGGGTGTAGGGTTTTTGCCCGTTGCTTCTCTTGGCCATCTTGGCCGCCCGTCCTCCTTCCGTCCAAGGCTTCGTTCGACGACCCTTTGGAGGGCCTGAAGCAGCAGCGGTGTCCTGGAGTGGAACTGGGAAGGACGAGGTGAGGTGGTGTTCTTCCAAGAAACAGACCTTCTCCCAACGCTCCAAGAACTTTCTTGAAGCTTTCGGTCCTTGGGTGGCATTCTTGGAAGCTCTCCTTCCTAGAGTCCTAGAGATTATGAACTTCTGTGGGTCAAACAGGAGGTTTGTGACTGACTGCCCATCGAATGGAAAGGGTCCAGCGGCATGACTGCCCAGGTGTGTCACCCTGGGCATAGTCTATATGAACTCACCACAGGCGAAACCCTCACAAGCTTATGTAAACAAGATATGGATCAACCGATGCATGCAAGGCTCACAAGGCCGTGGCGACGACATGACGCAATGACAGGACACACGGAGATCAGTTTTCGCAAATAGAACGAAACGGACGAACAGTATACTGGAGTGAACACCACCGGAGACTCAACGGGAGTGAGCACCACGTGTCGCCCATCATTTTCCAACCGGGAGAAACTACCCACCGGTGGGCAGATGAGGCTGGGCCTGGGGCTGCCACTCTGCCGGCTCTACACCAAGTATTTGGGTGGATCCCTGCAGCTGATGTCCGTCCCAGGCGTAGGCGCGCTGGAGCCTCGAGCGGGTAGGGGACGGGGGGGATTAGTGGAGGACAGTGGGGAGGTGGAAGAATGATCGCGCCGAATGGGTTACAAATATACAAGTTGCAAGTGGTGACGAGTGAGAGAGATGTCAACAGAAATAGATAGAAATAGACTCATTTGCAGGGCTTCCACAGGATGAGTATCTAATTTTAGATTCAGACAGCGAGGATGCATCATGATCTGCCAGAACCTGCCAGAACGCTCTTCAAACATTGGGGCTCACTGCGATTTACCCTGTGATGTTGCGTCAAAAAAGCACATGAGAGTGGCAAACTTCTTTGAGCTGTTAAGAAGTCAGTTTCTGTTGGATGTACGCAATCTTCTGTATAGCAGCATCTTTGACTGACATTCATGTGGCCAGTGGCCAGACATTTGCAACAGCTGTCAACATGCTGGATCAGGTGTAGATACCTATTTGGTCCTCTCTCGCATCGACCCGGACTCCATACCAGCCTGTGAATCGCTGGTTTGAGGGGCGCTCACAGGGACGCTGACCGCGACCGCCAAGGCAGAGCCTTGTTGATTTCGAAGCCACCCATGGGTGTGAATTGGAAGAGGGAGACCCCCAAAAAAACCTCCTGGGAAGAGTTAAGGAGTTAAACCCACTGGTTGGGAACTCTCCCTATTCTAATACCCTGCAGTGGGCTAGGCGGCTAGGCCTTGAGTTAGATGCATGAGACAGTTCGACAAACTCTTGGCTGCACCGTAGAACCACCTGCCCAAGTGGGTGTGGATTGGGTATGCTCTTGGTGTACTCTCATTGGCACCGTGGATTTGGGATGCCTAAGAGCCAAAGACCCCCACGGCTGCGATGGCCCTCGCCCCGTCTCCGGTCTCCGTGCCGAAAGACCGCCACGCGTCTCGGTCGAACGTCCGAAGACCAACCGCGTGCGTCGGTAGGAGTCCACGGTGAGTCGAAGCACCGTGGGGAGTTGGTCGAAGCACTGTTTGTCACATCAAAAGCCGAAAGGATTCGACCCCGCGGTGTGTGTGTTTTCTCAAGAGATCAGTTGCAAGTGGCTGGCTTGCCATCATGGGAGACTCAATCAGATAGCAGATATGGAGGACTACATGAAAAGGTTTTGCGACACTCCACATCTCAAACAGATACTTGTTCAGAAGGTGAAGCATCTGAAGCTGTTTAACTCCAGAACCCTGTTTAACTCCAATGACCTCCAGACGTCTTTGACCACCAAGCTCCAATGTCTCCACTCCCAGCTTATGGAGAAGGGGACCAGATGGCACCAGTATACTAGTAATTATTAGTATATTAGTACTGTATATTTGCTTTCTGGGGCTGGGCAGCTGGTCCATGGATACTGGACGTCCTTCAGAGTTTTTGGTCAACACAAACGTCCAGAGTCTTGGAGACGTGGCACACGCTGTTGGTCTCAGCCGCTGTTCAGGTCTCATGGGTCTCATGGGACTGGGAGCCGTCGAAATGAGTTCCAAGAGGCCTGGAGGTTCATAAAGCCACCCATGAATGGACCTGTGCAATGGTTTAGAAAGACACCATCGCAGATGATTAGCAATATGTTGGCCGCAATGTCACTCTGCGACAACATCCAAAAACCAAGGGATCATTATACTGGTCATTGAATATGATCGCCACCTGGTTCTATGGTGTTCCATGTCTAAGGACGAGTGACTCATGTCGAATCGCTTGGAAAGGAAAGGAAAGGAAGTAACAAGGAGCTACTAGTAGCAAGTGCCACGCTAGTAGTAACAGGTGCCTTACTAGTAGTAACAAAGAAG